ATTATGTAATAAAAATCAATTTATAAATATAATATAATGTATTTATTAGCATAATATAATTTATAAAAACATATATATGAATATTTATGCTAATTAATATAAAGAACTATATAATCATTATATTAATTTAAATTTTTTTTTCTTCTTTAAGTTCTAGCTGATTTGCATATTAATAATAACTTGCAGCAGGAAATGTAAAATTAATTGTAATATTATCTAATTCTTTAATATGATTTAAAACTATTGAAGTATAATTGGGACTTTCTCTATTAGATTCAGCTATCAAATATTCAATATGTATTTGAAGACTTTTGGCAACAAAAGTCTTTAACACATTAACTTCAACTTAATTGTCTTGAAAACTATTATAGTCAAGTATATCAATATATCGTTTTAGAGGTTTTTCCTATACTGATCCTGAAATAAAAAGTTCGATATCATTAAAACTTGGATTTCTGTAATTAATTAATTTTAAATATTAGATTTTGTAGTTTTTTTTAATATATAATAAATAAAGTAAAAAGAAATTATTACCTTTTTTTTCGAATTAATTGACTTGCTAATTTAGCAATTTCATCATTATAAGTACTACAGAAATTTTCAAATGATTGCCGTAATTTAGCTGAAACTTCATTCTATTTTGGATGTGTATTAACTATATTAGGAATAACAGTTTTTATTAATGTAGTATGAGTTCTTTTAGTTGGTACTCTAGTTCACAAAAATAAAATGCGAGATTGTTCAGCAAGAAGCTTTGCCAAATTAGGTGTATCAGTATCACTTGAAGAATTCTATTATTTATTGATATAAAAATTATATGTAATTATAAAATTTATAATTTTATACTATATAAAGTAATAAATTAAATAATAATAACTAACCTTGTTGGATAATATATTATTATTATTATTATTATTATTATTATTATTATTATTATTTAAATTTAATGCCTGTAATGCTAAATCTTTATGTGTTTCTAACCATTAAAAGAGTTGTGTTTCATCTTAAAAAAAGAGACTATTTTTTGATTTACTAGACAAATGAGAATTAATATAATTTGCATTTGGCATATTTAAAAGAGAATATAATAGTTTTTTAGAAATCACAAGGTTAAGATATTCATCTTCTGAAGATTTATCTTCATTATAAGTAGATGGAAAATAAGAGCGTTTATTAAATTGTTTAAAAAAATGATCTTTTGGAGCTTGTTGTTTTTTAATATTAATTTGTTGATAATGCTTAATATAGTCATTAGGTTCAATTAATTCAATTGAAGGTGAGCATTGTCGATAAATAGAAGATGAGCATTGTTGTTAATGGATTGAAGATGAGCATTGTTGTTGATGGATTGAAGATGAGCATTGTTGTTGATAGATTGAAGGTAAGCATTGTTGTTAATGAATTGAAGGTAAGCGTTGTTGTTGATGGATTGAAGGTAAGTGTTGTCAATAAGATGAAGGTAAGTATGAGCGTTGTTGATGAGATGAAGGTAAGTTATTTTGTAATAGTACTTTATATTGGTATCTAGTGGCATTTATTAATATTGAAGATTCAATACTAGTTGCAGATATTGAAGATTCAATACTATTATTTTGAAGTGGTTCTTGTAACTCTTGTGTAATATTATTATTTTGAAGTAGTTCTTGTAACTCTTGTGCCTCTAGATTAACATTAATATTTTCTTTTAAAAAATTAAAAAATTAATCTTATTTTTTA